TGGTTGCACAGCATGTCCCTTGCTGTCCTCTCGACCTCTGCAGCTTTTCCACATGTGCAGAGTTGATTTGAATGTTAGGATTGGGACAGAGTGGAACAGACGCCAACAAGCACACCCTGGCCCCATCTTTTCGAACTGCCTAGTGCTGATGTTCTCCGCTGACTAGAGCAGCGATCGTGAACCAGCATGATCGATTTGGTTGATGCCTGTGTTCTCCCTGGGATCCAGGACTGTGAACCGGCACACTTGACTTCTGACCGCCAGAAATTGTGCAGCTATGCTTCACGGACCGCCATAGCGGCTTTTGGTCCATGGATGAATTTTTGACCTCCGCTTACAGCGCACCACGGTGCTTAGCCTGATCACAAGATCAGCCAGGAGAAGAAAAATCCCTCCTGAGCCCTCGCCATCCGGAGACTGCTTCGGAGCGCCCGAAACTGAAACTGAAACTGAAACTGAAACTATCTATCTATCTATCTATCTATCATTATCTATCAATCATTATCTATCTATCACTATCTATCTATCACTATCTATCTATCTATCTATTTATCTATCTTTATCTATCTATCTATCTATCTATCTATCTATCCATCCATCCATCTATCTATCTATCTATCTGTGTGTGTTGCTTCCAGTTTGCAAAAGGACCCACCTTGGCCGAGCCAAAGTCCGCCACTTTCACTGCTCGGACTGCAGGATCGAGCAGGACATTTTCCTGTGGCATGCTCTGGCATGAGCAATAGAGACAGGAATCAGCTGTACCGCATATCATGAATGTAGGTCTTCGTGCCCCAACCTCCTCAGCCAAGTTTTATCCAAGCGACTGGCTTCAAATCCCTGTGAACAATGTGCATCCCATCCAAATGGGCCAGTGCTCGCAACAGTTGGAAGGAGAAGCAACGTACGTCTTGGACTCCTCAGAAACAAAGCTCAAATCCCGGGCTAAATGGCACGCGTAGAGCTACTCATTCGTCAAGAGACCTTAACTCAAAGATTTTCGCTTCAGATCTTATGGTGTTCATGGTCCGTGCACTCCGTGCACATGGTATTATCCGCTTAAGCTCAAAGCTCGCGCAATCCAATGCCAAGATGCCTAAAGGTTGGCCACCTGGTGCGACAGCCAGAATACCGAAAGTGCCCCTACGTGAAGTTTTAGTCTCTTGCCCTCACAGGCGCTACGCTGGGCGGGGAAGCACCAAAAGATTCAATTTATAGAACCGGAGTTGTCCAAACATCTTGCCAAGAGACCAATCTTTTGGTGAAGCGTCTGGGGCAAGTACTCCAAGACCATGCCTCAATTGTGATTGTAGCTGAATTCGTCGATGTTGAAACAGACTCTGAACATCCTGCAAACGGCTCTGCGCTAAACTCTTTTTGCACATGCCGTCCATGCCGCATAGCATCTCAACGTCGTTCTCATCCTTCTCCAAAAAGCCTGACAAAGCAAGTCTGCAATCCTGGAATCTGTTTTGTTCATGCTTCTGAACGAAGTAAAAGTTACAGTAAGTATGGGGCAATGAGTCACTGCAGCCAGGCCAGTCATTGTAGACTTCAAGGCAACGAATCTTGCTCGTTGAACATTCGCTCGCCAAGGAACTGTCCAGTAGGCGGACAACACAAGAGTGTCGGATGCTCTCCAGCAGAGTGATCTCCCGTGTCTTGTTTTCAAAGGGGATTTGCTTCACAGCGACCTAGGTGCTAGGCATGGGCAAGCTCACATTGAGGCTGAAACCAGTTTTGCAACTCTCTAAATCTGCCTTCCGCGACGATGCGGCTGCAGTGCCTTCGGATTCCTGAAGATTTTCATTGGAACATGTGGCGGCATGTCGCATGTGCAAGAAGAGCTGTCCCCCCAAGTCAACCCCTGACAAAGTCTGATAGTCAAGTGACCTTTGACAATGTCACTACAGCCTGGGCGCAACCCATACAACCTGAAACTCATACTCTCATACAAGCCGACAGAGTTATTTGCGTCCTGGCTCTCGCTGCTTTCGCGCAGTCGCTCAGCCAAAAAGACTTTGCCAAAGGTTCCTGCTGAGAAAATGTGTGACACGGAATGGTTTTCTAGGATAAGTTGCTCTATCAAGACACACGCTGTTTCCTTGTCACACTGACATCCCTGGCCTGCACCAATAAGCTCAAGGCGCTGGTAGCGCACGCGGGGGCGCTTGGGCAGGCACAAGCGCTTGGACGGTTCATCTGGCGCTTGCCGCCTGCATTTCCGATGGTTTGCTCATAACTCTTGAGTACAAACACTTGGGTCTGCAAAGAATCGCTAGACCCATGGTAACTGATGCTGCCCATAGAAGCAACATCATTCCTTTATTTTGCTTCGATAAAAGGAGCCAGACTGAAGGTACCAGTCACACCTGCGAGATGAGAGAGAGTTGCGAGGGGCCACAACTGCTGCCTTTTTCACGACCTGCAGTCCGAGAAACAACACTTCACGGCAATTCTGCTTGCTGCAACTACGCGAACATCAAAAAGAAACGATATACTGGAGAAAAATGCAGCGCCAACTTGGGTTCTTTTCCCTTTTTAAATTGCTGCTTCAAAAGTGGTTGCGGTACCTGCAACATGAACAAAAAGAAACCCTTACATGCCAACATGCCTCCTGAGGGCTGCTGGTAACGCTCAGGCCAGGTGCCCGAGATTGGTGTGGTTTCTTTTTGTCTAAACCGGCCCGAGCCCTTCAGACGTCAAGCTCGAAGTGGCGCTTGCCCATTGGAGTCTGATAGTTCATTCGCTCAAGCAGCAATCGAACTCTGACTTGCTCCGGGGGCTTGGTTGGCGTGTCTGCTGGCATGTCTGCTGTCGGTCAGTTTCTTTCGCTGCTGACACCATCCGGCACCCATAGGAATACAGTATCCACATGCTTGACCCTTCCAGCCATGCCTCCAAGCGATGGATAGTGATAGTGCAGTGTTGGCATCCATCCAACACTATATCGGGAGCCAAGGAGTAGTACTCCGCCCCCCCTGCTTGAAGCGATCGCAGCCTGGCCCTTGCAGCTCGTTTTCCAAGTTGGACAGTAGCCACTGGCGCTCTTCCAAGACGAAACAGATGCGCAAGCGCTGGTTTGCGCTTCAGATACCTAGCACCTCTTGAGCGTCATCCAACGAGCTCAATCCCACGTTCAGTCCAACTGACCAGCCTGTTGAGGACGTCGATTTTCTGTTGCGTTCCAAGGGTTCCAGGTGATGTAGGAGCCACGAGCCACGAGTCTCCACAATCCAGCGCTCACAAGCTCTTTGGCGAACCGCTCAAGTTGGTTCTTCGCACCCAGACCACTGAAGCTGTTGCCGTGGACTTCAACTCGAATCTCTTGAGCCGGATGAAAGTACAGGCAACTATTAGAGCGACCTTGGACGCATTCAAGGAGAGTCATCTCACTCTCAACCTTCTACGAGCATCGGCACAGAAGTGGGCTTTCTTGATGTCTATATGCACTGATCACGAGGCAGATCTGGCATCTTGCCATCCAAATCAGGAACTCGACGCATTGTTGCCAAAGCAAACAATGTTCGCAAAGCACTGATAGGCGGCATTGATGCGTAGAATGTTATGCCATGATCCTCAGTTTGGGACGGATCAACAGTGTGAGCTGTTGACGGCTCGCACAGGCAGTGGAACCTATCCTGTTGTAGTCTGTCGGCAAGGCAAGTGCGGCAATGCCCGCCTCCAGAAAACAGCAGTCCGGCAAGCATCGGTTTGGGTGCGCTGCATCCGGCTCTGGCCGAGCCGATTGCTAGGGCATTGAGTTGTGCCCTCCCTTGTCACGGAGCGACACTATTCGGGTACTTTAGTGCCAACATGCTTGCAACCGCAGCTAACTCTACTCATGGTATTTGGCCTGCTGTGGCTTCTAGCCTACTCTGGACTCGAGCTAAGGCGCGCGCCCAGACTCTTGATGAGTGACAGTGAGACCGCGATAGCTGTGGTCAGAGAGGCTTGTCTTCATCCAAGACCAGGGGTGTTTCCCATGTCCGGGATCATATGCAGCCAGGGTGGCCACCTCAGGTTCACTGGAGACACCACCGCGGATATCTTCTTGAGTTCACGTGCCACCAACCGACTTCGGTATTTGGGTGACTTCTTATCCTTCTTATTCACGTCCACCCAACGGGTGGAGATCACGACGAGGAATGACCTCCCACACACCCATCGCCTCTAGCTATACTGCTCTTTTGAATTCCGTTCTTGCAGCTTGGACCAGCTCAGGACGGAGCGGATGTATCGTGCCAGTAGGTGGTTCCGAACTACTCGTCATTCTCAATATCAACGTGCATCTCACACACAGGAAACCAAGTTCCTGCAACTGAGTCGAGAAGCCCGGTCCTCAAGGACAGCAGGAAATCAATGACCACCTCTTCTCGAGGCCTTTCAGTCGAAGATGTGGGTGGCTCAGAAACTTCCGTTGCCTCAACACTCCGGCCCTCAGTCTCAACTCTTGCTTTCTTCTGACTCACCTCATGAGCTCGCTTAGCTGGACGCGACTCCTGGACGCTAGGCTTGCGGCTGCGCTCTGACCTTGTGGATCTTCCGGCCAGCCTTGCTGCCTTTTTGGCATCCAAGGGTTTCCGGGCTTTTTCAATTTCGGCCAGCTTGCCCACCACTCGAGTTCTACAGGCTTCTGTGTGGAGAACACCTTCACGCGAAACACCGATGCGAATCATATCGCACGCTGGGCAGGAAGCTACGCAGCCGTGCGCATCCAAATCCGTTGGTGGGTGCAAACTACCTCAGAAGCAGGCTCGTCTGGCAACTCCTGCAAGGCAACCTCGAGCGATTGCCCCGACCAGATCGCCAGCACTTTGACCTTACCAATCAGATCAGCATCCCATCGATGCTCCTTAGGTTTTCTTAAGGACCGATTGAGCAACCACAACGCCGTTCTCTGTGGCTACGATCTTCTGAGTCTCACCACAGAAGATCCCTTTTGCCCATCTTGCTTCCAGTTTATGGTTTTTGCGCGCTCTGTAGTCCACCGTCTCTCCCTACGGCGGGAAAGCTATTTGCGAGTCTCGGCCCTTCAACCTTCGAAAGGGCGTCAGCCCATCTTTCACGCTGTCATCGTGGGCATACAATGTGTACATGTTGCCTGAGTCTTGAATGGTCAAGTCGCCCATGGTCCTCGCCCAATCCAGCGCATCTTGGCCTACTCGGATACTGCGACGCAAACCAGCTCTTGTACAACCAGCTCTTCCAAATGTCCTTTTCATCCTCGTGGGACCCTTTCAGGACTTGAAGCTTTCCAACACCCTTGATATCCACGACGCGACCTCTTAGAGAAGGTCTCCAGCGCCTTCGCATCAGCACTCATGGCAAGAGCTCGTGCTTCGTCTTGCATACCGCCTTCCAGAAGTTCAAGCCTCTGTTGAAAGCCTTGGGCCATCTGCGCCATCCCTGCCTGCATGGTCTGCAGAATCTGTCCAAAGATCACTTCTGCAGTCTGCCCTGGTCCATTGCCTTGGGCTTGTGGATTTCCTGCTGGACTTCCACTTGCTTGCGACAACAGTTGGTCCGGCAGAGCTCGGCTATATATAGCCACGTAGGTGCACACCAACGTGGAAGAAGCGTTGCAGCCTCCTTACCCGCCGGAACTTGCGCACCAGTCGGACCCAATTGGTCCGGGCGCGGGCTGAAGCAGCCCTGCGCTTATACCAGGCGGTGATGCGTCGCGCAACCCACAGAACTAGGCCCTCCGCTACCATGCAGCGAACATTTGGGCTCTTTTCCCCCTTTAACTTGCTGCTTCAGAAAGGGCTGCGGTACATGCAACATGAACAAAGTGACACATGACTCAAGAAACCCTTATGCACACGCCAACAAAAAAAGATATGTTACAGTCAAGGCATTGTACAGACGAATTATGCTTCCATCTGGAATATGCCTTGAAGGCTCTGAGGTTTTGGCGCGAACCAGAATGATGGCTCCCTCCAAGGGCACTTGGACCAGTCCAGGATCGAATGAGCAGGAATGAATAACAACGTCCTCCTCAAGTGCGCAACATTCACCAAGCATCCAACAAAAAACATGCTCTGGAGAGAACACTAAATATATATATATACTACTGTAGTACTTAGTGTAGTACAAGTTTATGCGTTGAAATTACAAGTACGTCGAACAATGATTGAAAATTGATGCACTTGCTGGAGCTTCAACTGAGAAGGAACCTGCAATAACTTTGTCCATCCTGTCAATATGTACCGGGTAGCTTACTACACCATTTCCCGGCAAGACTGACCCGACGGACCCCAGACCCATCCTTCTCAAAGCCTTCAACCTCCGGCGCTTCAGTGTATTCTAACTCGGCCCAGCCCTCCGGATGTTCGTCACTCGGCCGCGACAGAAGGCAAACATCCACCGGCTCCAAAGCAAAGAGGCGCAAAGGTTCCTGGCCAGCATTAAAAGCAATTATTAGACACATCACAATATGTATGTATGTATGTGTGTGTTGTGTACATATAATAGATGCTTATGTATAATATGTATATATATAATTGTCCCCCGACCCCGGCCGTTGCCGGAAAGGTGGCAAAAGAATACAGTACAGTACGGGATTGTACGTTGCAAATAAAAGGTTCCGAAGTGACCTCAGGCACCGCATGCGCTACCGTATCGGAGCGCTTGCAGCATCGGTTATTGTACTGAACGTGATTGTGTGGTCTCGTTTCGGAGAGTTTGTAGAGGAGGCCTGGAGCAGAAGGGATTTGACGTGACTTGAGGTATTGTGGACCTTCTAGTATTTATTGAAGGTGCAATCCTTTTTCGCGGCGACTCTTTTTCAGAGGGGGCAGGGCGTAGAATGTGTTCAGACATCAGATTTCCTTTCGGGATAGTGATTTGTTCCTGTCAATTGGGATGTCCTTGCGCCTTTTGCTCCGAGCAATATATTTATTTAATTATATACAAATATATAACAGTCTTCCTTCTGTCAATTGTCAACCAAACACATACCACACTCTTCCACCAACACCTTCTGTGATGCCCCGGTGCCCTTTCCCATCTCGATTTCTGCACCGTTTGAAGAGGCAGGGTGCACTTGGAACTGACCTGCCCCGTCCAGACCGGCAGCCCTCAAATCGGGCCAGCAGGCCCTGCCCGCCCGAAGGCCAATTCACCTTCGGCTTGCCGAGGGCTCAAAGCAGGATCGTTGCCCCATGCCGCCGACCACGTAGTGTAAGCACTCTTGTACAGGGTTGTGGCAGAGTCTCCAAAACGTAGCGCTTAACAAGAAAAATGCGCTTTGTGGGAGCTCGCACAGCTCGCTTTTGTTGCCCTGCTTTAGTGCTACATAAACCGATCTACCGTCGGGCACCCCACCTTACATGGAAGCTGCAATAGCAACTTCAAAGAAGAAAATCAAGAAAAGAGAAAGAGAGAGAGAGAGAGGGAGAGAAAGGAGAGAGAGAGAGAGAAAGAAAGAAAGAAAGAAAGAAAGAAAGAAAGAAAGAAGTACAACCAAGAAGTTGACTTTTTCTGTTGTCCCGCACAAGAACAATCACACTAACCCGAAACTAATCAAAACAAAAACACCATAGAAAAGATACTGACCTCATTCACATCCTCCCGTTTCCCATTTTCCTTGCTCTTCCTCCTTCCTGCCTGCTGGCCAGGTCAGTCATAAGTCTTCATTAAACACTTGGCAGTCTAAACTCAATGAAATGCTGGTACAAAATTGGACCACAAATCTGCATCCATCAAGAACTTCAAGGATAGCCACCTATTTCAAGGATAAGGATGGTTGCCGCATGATTTCAGGCTGATCAATTAGCTGCCAACAAAGCAAAAAATGAAATCCTTCCTGGACATTGCGACAAGCCCAGTGACTCAGCACTCTAATTTACTGACTACTGACCACTGTAAAGTCACACCTTACGGTTCTTGTCAGTGCGGAGGAGAAAGCAGCCCGCAAAGGCACCTGCAATCTTTGCACAAGACAAGTGATACGGTGTCAAACCAAGGCTGGGCAAGAGACACCATGAAATTCAACATATGGAATTCAAGATAGATGACGCCTTCTGATAGAACTTTGGGTCTCTTCTCCTCTCCGTCAGCCTTAGCTTAGCTATGCGAGGCTAAGTTGACTGGCAAAGCTACAAAACATCCCTTTTGGGCACTCTTTTCGTGCAACAGTTCACTAATTATCTGCAAGCAACTGCGAGGTAGGCAAAGATCCCAGGTTTCAGTTCTTCCACTTCGCAGTTGTCGAGTAAAGCCAGTGCTAGACCACTCAGCAGCAAGCGACAGGCCTGGTCTGCATCCTGCCATTAAAATCACCGATGGACAACAACATTTAAAGAATCTTGGGAGCCACTACAAAGGAAATTAGGCATACAGTATGTGATTTTGTTGGTTTGGCAAAAGGCGAACAACAAATGCCTATCTATGTGTGTTCGGCCCTTCCAACCCATCATCTTTAGGCCCAAACTTTAGGCCTTTTGTAAAGGCACTCCAAACAGAGTTTGCATGCTTATGGGTTGGTGTCTCTGTGCCCCAAGCAGTCTTGCCTCATTGAGCGCATCCAACGCAGCCCGTGCAACTGCACGTGGTTGCCCTGTGAGCTTTGCCAAGCTGGCCGAGGCAGACCTGTCCAGAAGGGAAGTGAGAGGTATAAAGGGCGGAGATAAGTATTATATACGGTGTTGACCTCGATGCACAATGCCACCCAACAAATCAACTAGGGGTCATAAGTATCAAAAGGGCTTTGGATTTTAGGGTGAGTTTAGGGTTAGCACTGTTATTCACATGGAATTGCCGAGAACTTATTCATTGCTGAAGCACGAAGCATCCATTTCAACTTAGGGTTTGCATGGTTACTTACAATGATATATATATAGTATCCGGCATCGGATCGCTATAACCGATGCGTGTGATTTACAGGGAATTGAGCCCTCAAAACCTCTGGGGGGGACGCAGTACATCCTGTGCGTAATCATACATTGCTCGATCCCCTCACCATCTTCAACCATCTAGACAACTAACTGGCTAAGGAAATGCCGAGCCCACGTACACATTGTCACAGCATATACAAAAAGTTGTAAGAACAATTCCACAGTGGATGCATGGGTACAAAGACCTTGAATGGAAGAAACCCGTCCGGCCTCAAAAAGGAGAAACGCGTCAAATGCAAAAATGATCGAAACTGAGACGCACCTCACCAGCTTTAAGGATGGATCCACTGGGTCTATCCGGTCGTCATTTGGCTGAAAGGTCTTGCGCTTCCCAGCCTTGCTGTGACTCACACGTGTCTCGTTCTTCAACATGACCCTTGACGTTTGCTAGCTGTTCGCAGGTGAGGAAACACTATCGGTAACTACGGAGTACTTAAGTCCTGTCCCTCAAGCGAGCTTAATTGAGCCTTATGGTAATGAGTGTACTAGCAAACTTTTGTTGAGCTCATGACTTTGGCCGAACCAGCACACATTGCGCGATGAAACACCGAAGCCAGCTGTGCAAGTGGAACTGCATAAGCTGGTCGGCTCTGGTCAGGTTCAAGATGTTCAATATTGTTGTTTTTGTATGAAGAAATCAGGACTCCAAGCACCAAGCTTCTTCACATTCTCGTGGACACTGTGATGAAGAGTGATGACGAGGTTTGGTTGGGGCATTCAAAGCATTGCATGAAGATTGATGAGTGGATGGGTAAGCTGCTTGCGATGTGACCAATATGTTTTAACTTCCTCCCAGTCAAATGTAAGAGCCAAAATTGAGGCAAAATGGTTCGAAGGGATGGTCCACCACGGTGATCAGCACAAGTCGTTTCTGTCCGGGCGGGGTAGGCCGCTAGGAGGCTAGGTAGCCTAGGTAGCTAGTAGCTTCAGGTAGGTAGCTAGGTAGCTAGGGAGCTACTACCTTCAAATAGCTACTACCTTGGACGGATAGCTCAGCTTCCTTGAAGAAGCGCTCGCACTGATTTGGTTCCGAGATTTTTAGGGAAACTTAAGGCTCCAAGTTGAGTTGGACGGGAACTCGCCCCGTGCATTGTCATAATTGCCGTGCAGTATCATGCACCATGCATTGCCATGCATCCCAGTTTCATCCTCCAGCTTCTGATCCACCAAGTTCCGGCCTTTCAGGCGGAAGCAAGCCTGTGCACCAAGCACCAAGCATCGCTGGCATAGCTAAAAGGTGTCGGGTATTTGCTGTTCCATGTGCTTTTCTGCTTCCTCGGATTTATATAGCAGATAGCAGATCGCTTGTTGTTTGCGTGCGATCTGTTCGATTATTCTTACATGAGTTGACACTGCCACAGGCACAATAAATTGTCTATGCAAGTCTCCTGGTTCAAGAATGGCCCGAAGATGGCAGCAATCTGATCTGGTTCCTGGAGTGGTTCGTGATTAGCAGGCTTGTTACCTTTCAGAAGTAAAACGTTCATTGCTTTTTGCATCTTTCAAACACGAGATGCCAATTACCAGTGCACCTCCATGGCATTTGCCATAGCATCAAGAAGGAAAATAGTCCTAACATATGCGGCAGTCCGTCTTGCGCGTCTTGCACCAGAAATACTCCATATATATATATATACTGCTTTTCTTTGTGTAAGCTATGGACAGTTCGCGCCGCTCAAGCATGGATTGCAGGCAAGCACTTGCCTTCATGACAAGCTGTCTCACGTGTGCAGCTGCTCAACAAAGCGACTGGAAATTCGCTACACAAGGTATATAATGTAGTATAAATGAGAGTGACAAATTACAAAGCACACCTGGTCAGGCGGCACAGAGTCATGGCCAAACAATTCGGTGCCTGAAGCACCATGGAGACTGCGAAGAAACAAGGACTCAAGGCTTTCAAGATCTGGGAAGGGTACAGGTCATACTCAAAGACCCATAGTTGCCAATCATCTGATGCACCTTTCACGGGCGGCTATGCAACAAACTCAAAGCTCAAAAGGAACTAGACATTATAATAAAGAGTTTTCTCAAGTGTTCTCTTCAAAGCTCAGAACGTGAGTTGAAGAAGCAGGTTCAGTTCAGAAGCACCGCCTTGGGAAGTTGCTGCAAAACTGCTGGAGGGTACCGAGCATCACGCCGCGCCTCCCATGGCAGGATATGATCTCACTGTCAAAGCAGGGAGGCTGCAGAGACTAGAGAGGTTCAAGGTATCCTTTGCACAAAAAGGAATTGTCTTAAAAAGGGACAGGGAAGAAGTAAAAGAAACATAAAACATACGAACGGTCCAAACAAACAGTAAATGAACAACAGAAAATCTGGGGCCTCCTCGCAAGCTTTGGAGCATTCCCTCAAAAACTTCAATTTTTCCGCCTTGGGGAGCGACTCTGTTTTCTTTGTTGTAAGTCATCTTTGGAGAAGTAGTAGCAGTCTCTCCAAAGTTTCAGACCAGCAAAGCTCGAGCGGAGAGCTTGGCCATGAGCACGCGCTGGAAAATGGTTTAAGCAAGTCACACCGAGCCACTAAGTCACTAAGCGGAGAAACAGCCAGATCCAGCCTCAACAGTCTCTACATTCAGCAGGCGTGGCTTGGACTCTGCATCCAACTCCTTCGTCTGTGCAATCCATCAGGCCAGAAACGTTGAGCTGCAGGTACGCACTCCAAATGGGAATAGTTTGTTTCAAAAGTTCAGCAAATCACGCAATTAGCCAACTGAGCTGTTGGTTACGATTTCCCTACGAATGGACATTTTTTGAGAGAGAAATGTCTATAGAAATCATGTGGTTCCCAAGGACGCTTTGCGTCTTCAAAGGCAAGCAGGCTCTTAGCGCCGCACAGCGGCTAGCTCGGCCAGCTCTTCTGAGCAACGAAGCTAAGGCGACCGAGTTGCAAACTCAAACACTGCGTTAAAATCCACACTGGACACACCTCCTAATTGTGAAAGCAAGTTGTCAACGCCCTTATCTCCGTAAATGCCTTTTCCATAGTTCACCTCTTTAGCCTTGGCAAAACCTTCTAATCCATGTATGCGCGTATGCATACATACATACATACATACACACATACATACATACATACATACATACATACATGGCTCAAGGCCGGGGGAAGTTCAATGTGGCAAACCCGCATAAAGTCCACTTAGTGCCCTGACTTCCTCCTTTAAATCCCTCACTGTGTCCTCCCTGGGTGATTCCCTTTGCCCGTTATCGTGAGGGACAAGGACCAGGGCATCTCTTTGACGAGGAGGTTGACCTCGGCACCTCAACTTGAGGGACTTCCACATGGCGATTGGGGCGACAGCCTGCATGTAGTCATCAGAGATCTGCTTGAGGGTCTCGTGACCATCATTCAACTTTGTCTACAGGTTTCCGTGAGCAATCCTTGGTACTGGGCTTTGGCGCCGTCCAGTTTGCCTTGTAGCACGGTCTTTTTTATGGAGAAGTTCTTGAGCTCAGTGACGTGTTGTTTGAGTTTGGACGCAATGTCCTTTTCCGTGATGGGCTCAGGCCGGTAGAGCGGCCATGTGGGTCTTCAAGATGTCAGCAAGGTCTGGCTTTGGTGGTTTGGTAGGGCTGCCCCTCGCCTCGTTCTGAATCTTGGAGCGTTTGAGTGGCCTGAACTTTGAGAGGCCTGGAGGTGGCTCAAGCAGGGCCTCTTGGTAGCTCTTTTTGGGCCACGTCATTCCCGGGTTGGAGGGTAGAAAAGGTTGTCCATGCCCTTTTCCTGCTGGCTTTGTCCTGGTGGGCCACCACTGCCTGCATTGGCGGCAACGGGCGCCTGGTTTCAGCTTGTCTGTCCATATCCAAATCGAGCATTGATTGGCGCGTGAACAGACTTGATAGGCCCTTCACCAGCTGGAAGTCCTGCCATGGTGGACGTATCGTCAGGATGAGAGGAAAACACAGCGAGCGCAGCAGGAGATCACCTCACCGGACATGATCAGGCCTGAGGAGTACCCAGTGATGTTCAACACAACGCCACCGGCAACTGACCTCCAGACCAGTCAGACCATGGAAGCCGACCATCTTCCAGCAGTGTTGAGCACTTTGTATCCAATTTGGGTTTCGCTTTGCGAGGAGCAAAAGACCCGGCTGCACGGTCTCCTCAAGCGGCCAAGCCACAACTCTGAGGACGTCACCAAAATGGAAGGCCCACCCCATGCTGCACCAGCTGGACAGTGTGACAGTGTGGGTAACTCCTTCAGTGACCTTTTGCTTTGGGGAACACCTTTGCCGCCGTCATCCTCTCATCAAATCCAGGCTCTTCTGAGGTGTGCGCCCATGGAGACATGCAATGATGCAGGGGAAATGCATCACAGCACGCGACAGCGACATTCATCAGACCAACAGCACAGCTTTGACAGCTCTCACACCGCTCACTCGGCGGCGCTTGACTCAGCACCTCTCACAGGCGCTCACGCAGAAAGGACATCTACCTCCACCTCGGCCACACCTTTGACTACAACCATGCATCATGAGTATGCCTCCACCTCCGATTTGCTCACACAGAACCTCACGATGAGCGTGGGCAACCCAACCGCCGGCTGCCACGCCAACATTCACATGGATGTAAGGAATCCTGCAGGAGACCAACACTGCGCCCTGGGGCGAGAGGCCGTCCAAGAGTCACTGGATTACTGATCCTGTGGACTAGACCCGCGCGCACTACCAGGTTTACAAAGTCTCCGGAAACAACACAACCTCAACGTGGACGGAGGTGCGGCTCAGTTGGTCAACTCCCTTTGGCTTCTATTTGAAACAACGGCCTTGACGTACAGGTACGCTGAAATCAGAGAAGGCGGCTACTTAGTCAACCACGTCGAGCAGCCCCTCATCATCGACCACCAGGACCCCTGGCAAGATGAGGTGACCTTCCAGAAAGTCACGAACTGCTGGGCCAGTGAAGGGCTGGGCCAGAACTTGATGGACACTTACAACGGCGACAGAGGGATGCTGGGGTCGCGCACGCCAAAGAAGAGTTGCAAAAAACTTGACGATGATCATGCCAGCATCTACAAATATGCTGCCACACCAAGCAGCACAACCACCTGATCCACCGCTACACAAAGGCCTGGACTGAAGGCCATCATGGATGAACACCTCACCGTAGTGGCTACCAGTGCAGCGCACGCCAAGCTTGAATTCACCAAGGTCTCACGGTCGCTGTCATTGATGCCAGCCTGCAGGAGACTTACCCTCAGATGCGCCAGACACCCAGCCAGACTGCCCAGTTGGACGAAAGCCCACTCAAGCTCAGGTCACCAACGAGTTGCTCCCACAGCAACCGGCCCCTGGTCTGCCTGGTCCCCACCACCGAAACTGCTAACAACTTGAATCAAGTGCATCAAGCGTGGAGTCTCTCTCCACAAGCGCACCAAGGACATTTGAGAGAGGAGGGGGTGAACGAAAGGTAGCAGGCAATCACAAGTAACCCTGGTAGAAGTCCACGACGGCGTGAACCGGCGCAGGGGGGATTTGATCCAGGAGGGGGGGGGGCCCGTGGTGGGGAACTTTTAGACCAATGTGCCGCCAGGGCTCCTTAGCATACTTGTCATGCAAAACCATAAGACTCCCACAAACGACCAGCAAAGCAAATCGACCTAACAAAAAAGTAATTTGCACGAAACCATGATACACACAAAGCAAAACAATACTTCATACTTCTTTAACCATCATCAAAAAGTACATACAGACGCAAACTTGTGATTTTTTACCTTGAAATGTTAAAGTAAAAAACCACAAGTTTTGTAAAAGAACCTGGATAAAAAGGACAACATAGAACCAGACTCATCCTTACCAGAGCTCTCCCTGAAGGAAAAGAACATAGAAATCCTTTCTGCTAAATGGATACCGCTTCGTTTGATGTCTGTTTTTAAGCTGGTGACCTGGATTACCTGAACTTTGGATTACCTGAAACTTCACAATATGTTACAAACAGGCGATTTGTAAACTATTTTAGTAGCACCACAAACGTATTTAATGCGAATGCGGGGGCGAAAAACATCAGGTTTTACATTTCAGGAGAGGATAATACCTATTTGGATTTGAGTTCAGTAAGGTTGTTTGCAACTTTGCAAAAAAACGATCGAACAAGACACCATTTCTTACGTCCATCAGGAGGCTTACATGCCTTTATTCAACGATACAGAGCAACAGTAGGAGGTCAAATGGATCGAAATATTGTTGAATACAATAGACACTGTGAGTTGTATGTTAGAGACATGGATGACATAGAGATGTCAGCTAACCCAAGATGGGACGCTGACTTTCATGACTATGCTAATGGTTTGGATGTATTAGTGCAGGCTACTACTGCTGGTGTTACTCCAACCCCCGGTGTAGTAACTGTATCCCCTGACGGAAATAAAAATGAATGGGGTAGAATAGATAAAAGATACAGTATACAAGACACTCATTGACAGGAATTCCCGGCGCTAATGGTAAAGCCCGATTCAGCCATAAGCCTGTTTGTGGGTTGATGCAGACAAACTATTATTTACCTTTGAGGTATGCGCCTTTGGAATTAGAATTCACAATTGTTAATGATGAATTGGTACCTATTGTAGAACCACAAGGAGGCGCAGTAGGAAACCCGAACACTCAAACTGACAAACAGGGGTATTACTTTCAAGCAGCTAACACTTCTACACAGTGGGAATTAAACAATGTTATTATCAGGGCTGAAGTAATGACTTTAAACAACACTGTTAATAACAACATAGTAAAACATTTGTTGAACGGTCAGTCACTAAAACTGGTCTTTCCTATGTATCACACACTGACACAAACCTTCAACAAAGGAGGCGGTGAATTGGATATGAACATTGTTAAGTCATCATTCAAACTCACAGGAGCATTCATTACTTTATACAGAACACAAAGAAATGGAACTATCAATGCTAACTATTTACCAGACAACTATGTTCATAAGCGATGGAACTACTTTTACAA